TAGAATAGAATAGAATAGAATAGAATAGAATAGAATAGAATAGAATAGAATAGAATAGAATAGAAGGAGGACCTTGGAGGTCTTCTAGTCGAACCCCCTGCTTAGGCAGGAAACTCTATACCATTTCAGACAAATGGTTATCCAATCTCTTCTTAAAAACTTCCAGTGTTGGAGCATTTACAACCTCTGGAGCAGGGGTGGGATTCTACCAGTTCGCACCTATTCGCTAGAACTGGTTGTTAACATTCTAAGCAGTTCGGAGAACCGGTTGTTAGAAGAAATTACTGGCCTAATCTTGTAAGGAAGACAGGAAGGAAACATTCTGGTGTTGCTTACAGAAACTGCCTCTCCGTTAACCCTTATTACGTTCTTGGCAGGACTAGACTTCCTGTCTCAGAAATTTCTCTGGAGTTTTTTCCCCCTCCTTTGCTGGTACCTACTATGTGGAGTGACCATTCAAAGTTACAATGGCACTGAAAAAAGTAACTTATGACCGTTTTTCACACTTATGACTGTTGCAGCAACCCCACAGTCATGAGAGGCCAGGGGAGGAGATGCGTGCCTCGATGTGAGTGATATTGAGTTGGCCACGCCCAGCCAATAACACGACCACCAAGCCACGCCCACCAACTTCACCACCCCCACAGAACCGGTTGTTAAAAAATTTGAATCCCACCCCTGCTCTGGAGGCAAGTTGTTCCACTGATTAATTGTTCTAACTTTCAGGAAATTTCTCCTTAGTTCTAAGTTGCTACTCGATTAGTTTCCACCCATTGCTTCTTGTCCTGTCCTCAGGTGCCTTGGAGAATAGCTAGACTCCCTCTTCTTTGTAGCAGTCCCTGAGATATTGGAACACTGCTATCATGTCACCCCTAGTCCTGTGTTTCATTAAACTAGACATAACCAGTTCCAGCAACTGTTCTTTATATGTTTTCGCCTCCAGTCCCCTAAGACACGCCCCCAAAATAATTTTTTTTTCTTTCTTTTTTTTATTTTTTTATTTTTATTTCTTTGCAATAATGACTTCAAAAGTATGTTTTTTTCCTTCCAACAACGCAAAGTAACTGCTGCTGAAATTTGAAGAGCTGACTCTTCTTACACTAATTTTGTTTTAATTTAATAACCAATTTGATTTTATTTGATTTAATAACTAATTCAATTTAACTTACTTAGTAATTAAAGGATATTAATGAGTTTATATAGAACTTTTTAGCATCATTCTAAAACAACCTGATCAGGGCTTACCTAAGCCCAGGATGGAGGGCATGAATCTTGATATTCAAATTTCATGTTATATTTAAAGGACACAGTAGTCAGGTTCATGCATGGCAATTGCTGTGTGAGGCTGCAGACTCAAGCAAAAAATCTAGCAGCAAATGAAGAGCAGCAAATGTTTCATTATTTAATTCCTTACTCCCCCCTCCTGTAGTATCTTTACTACCACAGAGGAGGGAGGCCCATAGGTCATTTTGATTTACATCGCAGAACAATTTGGCTGGATTTAGAATTTCCACTTAACTTGGAACAGAACCTGCCTGCTTCTCTGTTTGAGGCATCAAAAAGTTTTAGACGCATATTTTGCTTACAATTGGGCTCACTCATAGTTTCTTTTATTGCAATGAGTGTTATGAATGCCAACTGTCATTTATGATTTAGATCGTGTGTGAATCCAACCCTTGTAGATTATTCAGCAAATCAACTTTAAAACATAATGGTATATCTTTATATAGAAACTTAATCAGTGCCCAGTTAATACTTTCATTTGTGTTTCTGTAACATTTCTTTTAGTTCCTCAAAGTTTCTTACTTTTTTTCCTTTGATATTATCTAAAAAGACAATGCATCAAAGAAGACTGGCAAGAAATGCAACTAAATCAGACTCCAAAACATAAAATATGATTTTTCCTTCATCTCTTAACATCAACAAAATATATCAGAGTTTCATTCCTTGTCATATTGTTTATCCTTTTGGAAAGAAATAGTTATTTATCTTTTGATGGTAATCGCCTTCATATTTTGAAATGAGGGGACTGTGTTTTCCTTCATATTTGTTTTACCTATGCACTTACGAGCTCTCTTTAGGAGGAATATAATAATGTAATATATACAGTAATATTACAATATAATATAATAATATATAATAACAATAAAGCATTTAGAGGCTATCTGTTATTAACTTACTCTAACATGGTTTGGAAGGCAAAATAAAATACAGTAATAACCCAGACATTGGCGGGTCACTTTTGAGTATTTCTCTGCCTAGGGTTGGAAAGAACATTCTGTAGGGAAAATTAAATACCTGTTCTAGTCTTTCCGTATTCCTGAGGAAAAAAAATTAGGTAGAGCTAACCTTTAAAAAACCCACTCCACCCCCCCCACTAAAAAAGAAGAAAGACTATGGATTTATTGTACCAAAACACACCAAAAACTTGTTTCTCAAAATACTTCCAAACTGTCTTAAAATCTTTTCTGACCCTGAAACATTATAAATTCTTTCCCACAAGATGCATTTAGAATTCATTAGAATTCCTTCAGTGTTTATTTTGTCATATTTTTGAGTTAGTACTACACAGTCATGTCAGCCATCTTGAATTTTTTTACACTCACTTCTTTCCCCCATGGATGTCCTTGGTACTAAGTATTTTGCCATTTGTTCCACAAGGTGCTTTTTCAAGAAACAACTGGTTTTTCTTTGAAAATGTTTCACTTCTCAACCAAGAAGCTTCTTGGTATTTTAATATTAAGGCAGAAAATCCAATACACTCTAAATATTAAAATCTTCCAAGCCCAACCACCCCCAACATTAATATAATAATATATTAGAAGAACTAATTATTTTAGAACACACCAAAGGCTACTTAAATTAGCTAACCCACTCTTATATAAAATAAGCCCAAGGAAAAAAGAAATCTCATTTAAACAGATATAAAATTATTTAGTAGTATAAATGTTCTACGGCAGTTGCTATCAACACTGGCTCTGCTGGGTATGGAAATCTAGAACTAAACCCCACAGGTCTGCAAAGGGGCAATTAATGGCTTTTAAAATGAAGATAGGAATGGCAAGTGGGGGAGAGGGATCAACTCATGATGTCCTGCATCTTCCCATTCGTATAAAATATAGAAAAAGATGTTTTGCTTCCTGGGCTTTTTTCCAATAGCTGTCCTACAATTTCCATTACCAAAAGTTCTGTCATCATAAAGGGATAATTTATTTATAATACAAGTGGGTGCTGATCATAATAGAATTGTACATTTTTCCCACAAGAACGATGCCATGCCAATTGAGAAATGGGGGAAGACTTTCTCTGTAAATGAATTCCTTAGTGTAGACACAGTCCATTGGGAAGCTTCACTCCGTGTGTTCCTAAAGAGCTGAGAAACTACAGTGGGGAAGTTTCCATTTATTGGACAGCAGAAAAAAAACTGTCGCAATGTGATATGGTTCACATACTGTATTCAGCAATAAAGCATGATAAAATATAAAAACATAATAAAAACATCAATAGCTTCATGCTTGACACCATACCAAAAACACATTATAACTTAGTATGAAGTTTGCATTTCATACTGCAGTATGCGCATTTAGAGGTTAGTTTGTATTGATTGAGAAGAGCTTATATAGCCAAATCACAAAGTGTCTGAGAAGAATATACTTAATCCAAAAAATCCTTGTTGAATGGAATGAAGGAGGCGATGAAGGAACACCTATTCATTTCTTTAGCCATCTTTATATGCTGCTCCTGTCATGACTGATTCTGAGCAATGTATTGAGCATTCTCAATACAATAAGGTGTTTTTTTTAAAAAAATACAAGAATAGTAATTGGCCATTGGAGATAGCAAGAGACAAAAAAAGCTATTAATTGGACAGTAAGTGACTGTTATCTGAGCAATGACACTGAAAATTTCCATTGAACAATGAAAGGTGATGCTATCCAGTTTTGGGTGCACATTGCTGCCATAGCAACATTCAGAAAACAGATTTTTGAAAAATGACCATATGTGAAACCTAAATGTGCAATCTCTGTACTGATTACAAGAAGAAGAACAAACAGGTAAGAACAATGGGTAGTTTTATTATTTATTTTGTTAGATTTAGAAGATCAGCTGACTTCCAAATGACTCTGCCCAACTTATAATAATTAACCAGCTTCTTCAATTACACCCAGAAGGAAACAGGCAACTAATTCAACTTGTGGTGCATCAATTGAACATGAGTTTGTTGAGGTGTGACCATGCTGATGCATTTTGCACCAGCTGTATCTTCCAAGTGGCCTTCAAGGTCATCTCCATTTAACTTTTAAAGAATACTCAAGGACTGCCTTTGAAGAGATACAGATATTAACCAGATATTTGGAAGGCCTCCAATTCCAGGTAACTGGGCTTTCCTAGTGTCTGTTACATTTAGACAAACTATTACATGATCAAATGGGATTTATTGTATATCAGGCTCAAAGTAGATATGGAGTTAATCATATTTAATCCTTTTTCACATCTCTTCTTTCTTCAAATCACCTGCTTGAGCAGTCACAACCATGTAGAAAGAATAAATTTGAAGATGGAAATATAACAGAGAAAATATTAAATTCTTCCCATCACCTCTAATTCTTGTTAGAAGGAAAATTAAAGGTTGATTTAATTCAACAATGAAACAGTAGGGTGGAATTACTTGTGATTAATACTATATGAAGTTTGAGACTTTCTTTCAGCTTCATTAAATACACAAAACATACACATAGCCCTTTCTCATTTGCACAGTCCTGATTAAAAAATCTTTGAAATGGACCAAAGTATTAGAGATAGAGAAAATCATCATAAAATACAGTGCTTTAAAGACAGCTTGAAATACCAGGGTTGAACCACCATTCTATGCAGAAGGAGTTATTTCATAGAATCAACATCAAGATGGTCCAAGACTAGGGTCTATTGTAACTATGTTGCAGGATGTTGTAGTAGGAGCATATTATGGTGTCCCTGAATGAAAAATTAGACAAATAATCCTGGCTATTTGGTAGTGCTTGCAATGCAATTTGTCAATGATACTTTTTCCCCATTTCTCTGGCATTAATAGAAGAGTGACAATATTTTCTGGCATTTTCCATGAAATTACTTTTGGATCTGCTAGTATTATAACCTACAAATGACTTCAGCAGATTTATGACTGAAGAATGGTTGATATTGATACCAGATTCAGGTCCATGCAACACTGGAATGATCTGTGCAAATGTCTTTGTGTTACAGTTATATTAGTCATAATTTGGTAAAATAAAATTCATTGTTTTGTTTCACTTACCATCTTGGCTTTAATATTTTTGCAACAGGCATGAATGTGTTTCTATATTGATTTCCACAAAGTTCTGATGTTTGATAACTGGGCAAACATTCTTATGCCTGATGTATTTAGTTGCAAGTTTTCTAAGGCAGAGGTTCCCAACCTCCAGTCCTTGGACCAGCATTGGGCCATGGCATGCCAGAAACCGGGCTGTATAAACAAGTGAAGCCCCATCTGCGGGATACAGGCAGCATGTGAAACCACGCCCCCTCCTGTCCATGCAACCGGTCCCTGGTGCCCAAAAGGTTGGAGGCCACTGTTCTAAGAAACCCTTCCTGCCTGGTTGTTTTCCAAACCTTCTTTTTTAAATTTCAAGAACTTGTATTGAAACATATTTGTTATCTTTTTGATTGTTTTACTCTTGTCCCTGGACTTAGAAAATTATTTTTATCATCTTTTTCCAAATGTCAATGTATTTCTTCCTGGTTTTCAGTCTTAAAGTACAACACTGAAGACATAAATTAAAACTCGGAGATACAGAAAGAAGGATTTGAAAAATGCTGTGCATATGCAAGTATGAATAACCTTATTTGTCCATTTGTACACATATCCTAACTCTAGTATCTTAGGATCACACTCACAGTGCTGAAATTGGATGGCAAAATGACTGGTTTTCAGTGGACTATTTGGGAGGCTGACAGTTTGGTGTAGTAGTTAAGGCTAAAACCCAGGAAACAATGAGGCATAAAGCTAGCTGGTTGATCTGGGGCCAGTCACTGTCTCCCAGCCCTAGGAAGCAAGCAGTGGCAAATAACTTCTGAAATCTTTACAAGAATATTTCATGGACTAATCTGTGCAGTTGCTAGGAATCCAAATTGACTCAAACCTGCCCATCCATCCTCAAAAAGAGCTTGACAGAGGAAATGGGAGACAGAGGATATGGGAGGCAAATCATTTTCATTATTGAATCTGTATTACTGGTCCATGTTCCTTAGAACAATATGGTTTGCCTCCAAGAAGCTTCAAACTAAAACCATAGACCTCACAGTCTTGACTTAACACAGAAAGTAACGGGCATAAACAAGAATATAGTATCTTATCTCCAGAAGATGAAGGGTATCTCGATAGTGCAATGAAATACCAAAGCTTCCTGTACTGCTCCATGGCCTTTCAACTTGTATCCTATCTCTTTGAATATTATTTAAGAAGTGGATAACAGAAGCTGGATAAAAAAGAAAGTGGATATGAGGGGGGTGTAAATGATGAGTTCACGTCATTAAATCTCTGTCTGAAGTGATATGCATATATATTGGTCAATTAAGAAATACACTCATTTTCCTTAGGCGAAAAAGAGTCAAACATGATACAATCTATATGCAAGGCAAATATGATATCATGACTATCAGATCCTTATGATCTAGTAGGTAGGTTATCATTATATTTAGAAGATATTTTAGTCCTTAAAATAGCAAATATCTTGATATATTAACTACCTGCTACAAACAAAGAATGAAATGTCTATAGAGATTAGAAGTGAATAGCCTGTACTACAAAGTACTAGGTAGGTAGTACCCATATATGAGGTCATAATATTTCATTTTCATTTTAATATGAATTCACATCTTCCTGAAAACATGTAAATAAGAATGCAGTTATCTCTGCATATCCCTTGGCAGTCCAACCAAACTGGTTGGCTATTCCTGCCAGTTTGGTGTCATCTGCAAATTTGTTGAGTTCTCCATCTATACCCTCATCCAAATTTTTTCATGGTGTGTGTGTGTGTGTGTGTGTGTATATATATAAAGTTATGTAAATTTAGGTTGTTTTTAAAAAAAACAATATGGATCTTACAAATAATTATATATTAATTTTTTTGTCACAAATATAGAAAGAGTGAATGAATCGCCCCATCTTGTTCTCACCCAACACAGAAATGACCCGCTCAATTTTAGACACACTGTGTGAAGACCTAACTCACTGGAGAAGACACTAATACTTGGAAAAGTGGAAGAAAAGATAAGAAAAGCAATTCCATCTGAATTATTAGAAGACCTGAAAGACTTGACTAGGCACAAGTTGTCATGGGGGTGGTAATCTATCTATATTGTTGCTAGGAGTCAAAAATGACTTGGTGGCACCTAATCAATTAAACAATCATGTCTGCCTAAGTTCCAAAACATGTTCACCTTTATTGCGAATGTCTACTAACTAGACCTACTGTGTAATATTATCCAGAAATAGAAACATTTCTCCTCCTTTTCCAAACTGAAGAATTAAACCAACACAGAATGCAGCTGTTCAATTAATCAAAGCCCTCTATTTATTTTCATACGACAATAGCCAGATTTGCACTCTTACTTTCAAAGACATATCAGAGATGCAGTCTTGGCTAGAGAAAGGAAAACCTTATATTTATTTATATTTGAAGCACATGACTATTTTTGTGCTGTGGAAAAGTAATGTATACAAAAGCCAAATAATGTTTCCCATGTTACTTTTTTTCTAGAAAGAAAAATGTAAGGACCCAGCTAGGAAATAGCCAGTGACATGACTTGGCAATGGCTCATAAGATGACAGGTGACAGGGCTATCATACAAATAAACAAAAGTCCATGTGAAACAGATTTGCCATTAAGGGTTAGCAGTCTCTGCACTAGCTGAAGCACATCTCCACAGGATTCATTTTGGTTGACTTTTAGTCTTTTAGAATAGAATAGAATAGAATAGAATAGAATAGAATAGAATAGAATAGAATAGAATAGAATAGAATAGAATAGAATAGAATAGAATA